CAAAATCACTAGAGAATGTGTTTACCCCATCACATTCCTGCCAGAAGCCGTGAGCCACAATCCACAAGACCAACAGAGAAAAAATGAGAAACAGACAGGCATTCTGAATCAAAGAGCGTCTTCTGTGTCCTTGGAACTGTCGGTACAGTAGTAAAATTTCCCTTTGAAAAGCTGCACTGCAATGACTGCAAATATGAACATAAAGAGCTTGTAGACGATGAGGATGTTGAAGACATTTTTTAGCGATGTGACCACACAGTCAAACACGGCCTGCAAATCAAAAAAGGAGAAAGACAATGAGGTATAATGACAATTGTATTATTTCTATTTAACTTTATTGTTATTTCAGTTTTCATTTTGGTAATTTTAGTACTTAAACATATTTCAGTTAGAATGCCAAGGCAACATTTCTAATTTTCTTTTCTTTTTTCTTTTTTGCATTTACATTTTTCTTGTAATATTCATATTTAATTTTATTTCAGCTTTATAACTGAAATTATGCATGCACAAAAATATGGACTGACAAAAATCTGTGCATGTAAAATTGACCTATTTGACCATTCTTTGGTGATATTATAAATATTTTAGTTGACTGTTGTGCTAAAGTGTTCTTGTAATGGTCAGTACAAAATGAAAGCAGTTAAAAAAGCAATCTTTTCCCAGATGAGAAATTTGCAACCCTTAAGTCTCAAATGAAATTAGCTTTGCTTTAGAAAAGCAGTTGTCCTTCTGTCTCTTAAATCTGTCTCTCACATTTTATCACTTTGCCTTTTTTTTCTCCACACATTGCTGGCTCTTTTTCCACATCTTACACCATGTCTCTCTCGTTCTTACATACACAAACCCAAAATACACAAACACACACACATACACACTGAGAGCTCTGTCAGACATGGCAAGAGAGTTTCATCACTTTCCCTCTTATTTGATCTCGTTCTGCTGCTTTGCTGACCACATTTGTCAAATAATCAACTTCAAGTTATTCAAAATGAGCAACGCAGATACACACTGTTCAACTAATCAAGTATTCAACTAATTGCCTAATCCAGTAATGTCGTACAATTCAACAAAGATTTGTACCCACACACACACACACACACACACACACGGGTCAAAAATATTTTTTAAAAATGTTTATTTTTTTAAAGAAACCTCTTATGCTCACCAAAGCTGAATTTATTTGATCAAAACTACAGTAAAAACACATGATCCTTCAGAAATAATTCTACTATGCTCATTTGTTGTTCAAGAAACATCTCTTATTATTATCAATGTTAAAAAAAGGAGTGCTGCTTAATGCTTTTGTGGAAACTGTGATACATTTTTTATTCTTTGATGAATAGAAAGTTAAATAAAACAGCATTTATTTGAAATAGAAATCTTGTGTAACACTTCACTGTCATGTTTGATCAATTTAATGCATTCATAAACAATAAAAGTATTCATTTCTTTCAAAACAAACAAACAAACCTTTTGACCCCTGACTTTTGAACGGTTGTGTATTCCTTTCATGTTCACATACCTTGAGTTTGGGAAGTCTTTTAATAGTCTTAAGAGGCCTCAATACTCTGAGAACACGCAGTGATTTGATGGTTTTAATGTCTCTTCCTGTGTTACTCCTGTATAGCATGAAAACATATATAACTAAACAATAAAAAAACTGTCCTACTTCTCATGTACAAATACAAACACACACACACACACTATTATATGGCACAAAATCACAAGAGAATGTGTTTACCCCATCACATTCCTGCCAGATGCCGTGAGCCACAATCCACAAGAAGACCAACAGAGAAAAAATGAGAAACAGACAGGCATTCTGAATCAAAGAGCTTCTCAATGAACAAAGAAGTGTTTTACACTCACAACACAAAAAAGAGAGCATCAACTAACATCAATATGTGTCAAGAATTTGAAATGTCTGAATGTTTATTCTCACATAAGTCATGTAGTTATCACACAACATTAATGGAATTTGAAGATGAATAACAAAACATTTGAGCAATGCACCTAAAAAGCTTAATCAATATGTTTCAGCTTTACTAACAAAATGCTAAATTACACTTGTTCATCATTTGACTTACGTGAGAGCAAAGGCCACCAGAGCTCCCACCACAACTATGAAGTCCAGAATGTTCCACAGGTCACGGAAATAGGAGCCATCGTGTAAGATCAAACCCTGCTCAATCATCTGAGAAAGATATGATAACAACATATATAGTATATTTACATAATACATTATATATATAATACATATATATATATACAGCATATACACAGTTTAATTTTGCAAACTGAGGAACATACATGAAAACCAGAACAATCCATGAACTTACCTTGATTATCATTTCAAATGTGAAGACACCAGTGAATACATAATCAAAATAGCGCAGCACCTATTACACATAAAGACAATAATCCAAAAAGGATTACAATGTCAGCATTAGCAAACACACAATTACAAAAGACTTAAGAGACATTAGCATTGTTTGTCATTGACTGTTAAATTTGAACAAGCCAGAATGTTGCTATTCTCACGATAGATCTACCAACAAAGTCACAGCACTGACATTACCCTCACTGTATAGATTTAAATACAAGTTTGTGCATTTCTGAAAGGGAAATAGGTTTCTTCTTCAGCTTCTCAGTTTTCTACATCTAAAACATAGTTTTTGTAATTCGTTTACATACACACAAGATCTCATCATCTATTACTGGAAGAGTCTTAGCATTTAATTAGCTGTGGTTTTACACAGCTGGTGCACTGTCACTAGGGAAATGTAAAACCTGCAACAAAAATCTCAATTCTTTTAGCTCGCAAAAAATGACCATCAGGGAGCAATATCATCAGAACCAAAGAAACTCAAAAATCAATCTACTGTGTATTTATTTATATTATCAAAAATGAAAGATTTTACATGGAAATAAATTATCTTTTTTATTTGTTCAAAGTAACAGACAGATATTTCATTTGTAATGACACTGGGGAGTTATAACATCTTATTCTTTTTAATCAACATTTTTACATTACATTTTCTATGCATGCATTATGAAAAGTGTTAGGTCAGCATTTTTTTTTTACGGTGACAAATGAAATTTTAAAAGTACAATTTTCCATGAAGTATCTCATTTAATATGAAGTCATGAAACTTGCATGCATTATACAAGTATTAGGAAATTGCTGTTTACAGTAGTTTTAGATACAGCCTGTCATACTGCAGAACATGAAAATTACCCAGAAATATTAATGACAACTAATGATGGGTAATGGGTCAATTAACTAAGTTAAAGATACTTATCAATGTTAATAAGTTTCCTTAGAAGCACTTAATAAAATATAAATGCAATTATAATTTAGACCATCCGAGGACTGTAGCAGAACTATTTGCATATGGTTGTTGTATACACAATTTTTGAAAAATGGAGACATGGCAATGGAGGGGAATTCTTACTTTGTTCCTGTCCGAATTAGTGTTGACAGGGTCTTCAGCAGCCAAGGCGATACTGCTGGCGGCGATCACAAGAAGGATTGACATCTCAAAATAACGAAGATTGACAATATAGTGGCAGGCCCTGCGGACCCTGTGAAAGAGATTCTATTCATAAAAAGAGAAAATATTCATAAAATATAGAATACAGCTGTGGCTACATAAAGATTCAGCCTTACGGGTTGTTGGGTTTGAAGATGAACATGCTGACAGGTGGAGGGGCTTCTGGTGCATCTGGGGTTTCCTCTTCTTTCTCTGGTTTTGAGGCCTCCACGTCTTTACTATTACCTGTAAAATCCAGGTATATATTAGAATTTGGGAGCTTTTATATGATGAACAATCTTATCTTATCACCATTTCTGAACAATCTTATCAGGCTATATGCACAGCAAAGTTATAAATTATATATCCTGTGTTTTTTTTTTTTCATTTGAAAACATTAAACAATATGTGCAAACAAAAAAGTACAGGAAAAAAGCATTCAACACAGAGCGCAGAGCGAATGGAAAAAATGGCTATAAAGCACATACATATACACTCGAGTTGGCATGTGGTTATCGTGTTTGCATTGTTTCATATGTTCTTGTTGAAAAAAAAAAACCCCACATGTACATGCTGTGTCCCCTAAAGCATTTTTAGCCAGCTGAAAACGCCAGGCGCTCTTCTGAAAATGCCTAGCTGTGAATGCTTGCGAGCGCTATGGAGGCACTTTGGTTGCTGTGATAAAGAATAGCCACTGAAGTAATGTGGCAGACGCATCACGAATAAAATGTTGCATGCATTATTTTTAAAATAATGCATGCAACATTTCATATATCAATATTAACTTTTCCATTGTCGTTCAGTCGTAGTACAAGTAGGATGTGACAGTTGGTCAGTGTGTTTTTTGCCCCGCACAACCTCCACTGTGATTGGACGACTGACTGAAAACTGACAGTGAAGAGCGGTGCGTTTTGCCCAAAGTTGAACATTTATTAGCGCTTTGTTGTACTGCTGATGTCTTAAAAAATGTGGCGCTCCCATTGAAAACTACTGATAAAATATGCTAGCCTCGAGAAAAAACGCTTTGGTGGATACATGGCCTTAGTCTGTTAACAATAAAGCCGGCAGCAGAGAAAGTGAGTGATCTCTCGGCCTCACCCGGGGTACATCTGTGCCTACCTGCAGTGAATGCAGTGATGTGCCGCTGTTTTTTCTTCATTAAACTAGAAAGACGTTTCGGTGTTTGTATTTCATATGATTCCTTATTTTAGTGATAAATCAGTTTCACTTGACAAATTTGCGTGCTCAGGATTTATCGGGGATTTAGGCTACTGCATTTACGGCCAGCAAAGCTGGAATTCGAATATTCGACTATTCGTGCACACCCCTAATATATATATAATATAAAAATATTAAATAGACATTATATATCATCTATCTATAATAAAAATATAATAGCTCAAATTTATTGTTATTTTAAATTTTTAGTGTTATTTTTATGTTTTCAACTCAGTATGACTTATTAAATGAAGACAACTAGGAGCTTGTTGCACAATATTACTAATATAGCTATTGCATAGATATTATATAGGATAAATATTATGTAGAAATACTTATGTAATAGGGATGCTCCGATCAGGATTTTTGCAGCCGATATGAGTACCGATTTCTTGTTATGGCATGCTGATACCGATGCCGATTCTGAATCTTCAAGCTTTATATAATATATGTAATAATGTTATATAAATAATCACAAAAATGATTCCTTATACATTGAACATTTTAATATGCCTTTAAAATGGGGTTTATGCATAACATTATCAGGACACTTAATATAAGACAAAAATAAATACAAACAAAATGGAGCAGTCTGATGAAACCCACAAGGTTTATTTAAACATTATCCAACAGTAAACTGTGGAGGACAAAATAAACATTTAATCTCCTAAAATGGAGAAGTCTGATGTAACTTAAACATTGTCTAATACAAGTCTGAGCAGGACAAAACTAAAGAACTAATTGGAGTAGTTTGATGTAACTCATAAGGTTTAATACTGTCCAACATAAGACTGAAGAGGAAAAAAGAAATAGAAAACTTTAAGCTACTGAAAGAACAAAACAGTTCGGTCACGGTTATATCCACGGGCGCTGTGGATAATCCGCGGGTCGGGTAATAAAAAAATGCATTCTGATTATTTGCGGGCGGGTCGCGGGTGGATAAAATAAATCATAAATTATGCAAATATTAACTACATTTTTTAAAATAAATTTTTTCATCAGGCAGACGATTTCATTTGTGTGTGTGTTCGCCTGATCGGGAAGTTGCAGTGACAGAAACAGTGACATTACAGATAAAGTTTGAAAGAAGTAAAGCCTGTGTTAAAGCTATTGAGCAGGCTAATATGGCCAAAGAAGATATTTTGCTTTATAAATAAATGTTCATTTAAAAACAGCCCACGATCAGCGTGTTATGTTACCGTTACCCCTTACGGCTCTGACGAGGTTTTGTTCTGTCCTCCACGCTGTGCCAACTCACAAAAGACTATTGTAACCAAGCAGCGCAGAGAGCCTCTTCAGAAACGTGCCGCGGCTGGCTCATAAACACAAGCACTGACTAGAGCGGCCGCGATCAGCTCTGGTTCCCGTGGAGCCGTAACGCGCCATAGACGTGTGCAGTGAGGTGCAGATCAGCTCTAACGTCACTGAACCTGCTGTTAAAAATGAACCATCCATTCATCATATCATCATGCAAAACATACACGACAAATAGCGAATTTTTCATTGTTTCTCAAACGTCATAACATTTCCACACCGGCGTACGCATCATGTACGTCCTCACGCACTGACGTCATCAAATTGCGATCGGTTCGTGAGATCGAGTCATAAAATGTGATTATCGGTCGATACCGATCTCCGGCCGATCGATCGGAGCATCCCTATTATGTAATATTACATTATTATAATATTGTATTACATTAAGTATTATAGATCTTCTATAGAATATATTGGAATATATAAAATAGAAATAATTAATTTGCTAAAAATCTTTATGAAAAAAATATGAGACTGTCCTTTTTGAGCATTAGAAATACAATGGAGTCAAAGTCACAAGTCAAATCTGAGGATGAACTCATTTGGTGGTGTTACTACTAGGATTTTTAAGTAGCTTAGCCAGCAAAATGTTCTTTTGCTATCTAGCTTCATCAAAAAGAGCATGTTAATGGCCATGTCATTGCTAGTGAACAGCTTGGTTCTGCTGGTCTCCTCTAGCTAGACTAGCACCAATCCAGCACTAACCAACAACAATCAGTCTAGCTGGTCTTATCAGTAGGGTTATCAGAGGTGCAGGGATGCTCAAACCCGTAATGGAGGTCAGCTCCATGGATGGCTGAGTGTCGGTGACCTCTATCATGATGCTGGTGTTGAAGGAGGACTTATCCTGATTCAAGCATCCGCGGTTGTTATTATCGGTCTCGCCGGCACCCAAAGTTGCCTGTGGGGACTGCTGGAGAGTGCTGTCAGTGAGCTGTAGAGTTGCAGGTTCTGAGTCCTGAGGTGGGTTTTTGTGGGGGGAATTGGTTGGTTTGGTTTCTGATGATTCAGAGTTGTCTGGTTTGTTCTGCCTGTGGAAGGGGAGAAGTTAATAGCTGAATTTCTCTCTCCTGTCTTCCAACAAAGAATATTGTGTACTTGGCCATAAAAAATAGATAGGTATATGTGAAATTAATGTAAACTGTCACCATGATGTGATGTGAATAGAGCTGTTCAGTCATGATGTCAATTTGTAGATCAACCTGGAAGGCCAATTCGCTAGTTTCCTCACAAAGTTCTAATGGGTTTTAGGAACAGCAGCTTTTGATTTATGAGTAAAATAGGTTCTGTGGTTAACATGACGTTCATGTTTGTTTTACATGGCAAAGCTGAATTTTCAGCAGCCATTACTCCAGTCTTCAGTGTCACATGATCCTTCAATAATAATTTTAACATGCTGATGAAATGCTCAAGAAGCATTTCTTATTATTATCAGTGTTGATAACAGTTGTGCTGCTTAATATTTTTGTCGAAACAATGATACACTGTTTTCAGGATTTTTTTATGAATAGAAAGTTCAAAAGAACAAAAGATTTTTTGTAATATCATAAATGTCTTTTGATCAATGTAATTTGTCCTTGCTAAATAGAAGTAATACTTTTCTTTAGATAAATAAAATACTGTCCCCAAACTTTTGAACAGTTGTGTATATAAATTGATACAATTATATAAATCAAAAGAAATAATTAAACAAACTACCTCTGTTCAAGCACCCTGCCATCTGGACTGATCGCTCCATCATTCTTTGAATCCTTGTCATCTCCCTCATTCCAGGGCCTTTGTTCTCTACTGTCAACACCACCGTCTCCTTGTGGTGTTTCTTTACCCCTGGCATCTGTTTGAGGTTCACGGTGGTGTGGGCGTCGGGGCCTGGGCCCCATATCAGGGGTCAGCATGTCCCCCATCGCAGGAGGCCTGTACTTACGGACTGCCCGCTGCCGCCTGTTTCCATTCAGTCTGGGGCAATGGTTGTTGATGTCCAGAGTGCCCTCGGGTGAGGTCTTTGATTCAGACAGCTCTGTTAGGGGTAGGTTCAGCGTCACTGGGGGTTCAGGGAGGGATATGTCCACAGGCATTGGTGGCTCCGGTATTGGAATAGCTAAAGGGGGTTCAGGAATAGGAATGGACAGAGCTTGCTCATCCACGGGCATGTCCATAGCCATGGGTGGCTCTAAGGTAGCCTCCGGCATGGTGGTGGTTGTTGTGGTCTCGATGGCTATGCGCTTGCTGTTAGATGGAGATATCCCAGGCTTCTTGTGGTGAAGGCAGCCAGGTGGTCCATCGTGCTCCTCACTGGGGCTGCTGAAAAGGATCTCGCGGCTGGACATCTGTCTGTGTCGGCGCAACTGGCTGGTCCTCTGCTCCCAAACTGACATGGTCAATCTCCTCCTTCTCTCTCTCCTGGACATGAAAGAGTTAGAGGCATTGAGTGGACGAGCATCAGCCAGACTCTCTGAATCCTCAAAGGAGTAAGCCGCACGGCTCCGGTGAATTGCACGCTTCCTGTACAGGTAGGGCCTTCTCCTCCTCCTGAAGAAAAAAAGAGAGGACACACAATAAGCCTGGATGGCAAACTAAATGTTTAAACAGCCATGCCACAACAATGTTTTACATTACATTATCACTCATAAGCAGAACAAAACCCTTTCTACTCTTCTGAAAAGACCAACTTAGTCCAGTGGTTCTCAGCTGGTTTCGCATCAGAGCTCTATATTACATTGGACATCAAGTGAGAGAAAAGACTATAAAATGTCCTTAAGATCAAAATGTTTTAGTTGATTTATTATTTGTTTGCTTCTTAGCTTCTAAAAAATTAATTAGAATTTGAAAATCTCAAAAATGAAACATTGACATTTATTATTGCTACCATGAGTTTTGGTCCATCAATATGTAAAATTAACAATTTACTTTTAGTTTAACTTTACCTTTGCAGTTTGAATGTTTGGTTTCTAAATTTATCTAGAATTTCAAAGGACTTGTGCTCTTAGCAGCCAATAATTCATTGTACAAAACACACCTGCCCATGTTGGAATACACTTGGGCAGCTTCTACCAAGTGACAGATGAATTTGCACCTAAGTAGATTTTGATTGGACAGATAACAAAAAAAAAAAGTCCTTTCTATTAAATGTTGAAAAGCCTATTTATATTGATATTCTAAATACATAATGTATATAGTGTTTACCCGAGCAAACCTGCGACCCACCAGTCGAGAACCACTGGCTTAGACCATTCAGTTGACAGCTGGTTCAACATGAACATCTTACTAGTTAAGAAATATGTAGGGCACCGGCATCAAAAAAACAACATCATGGTGACCAGGTGTACTGGTCAGGTCAGCAGGGTAGCTGAATATGAGAATTGAAGTATCTGTGGGCAAAATATTTAACAGACTGCTGTTAACAAGTACTCTGTAACACGTTGTAGAAAGGGTCCATTAATGTTTATTTTCATGACTTTGTATTTTTGTGTGACTGGAATTCATGGTCCAGCTTTTAAGGACAGCAGAGATGGAAAACAACTGGATAGAGTTGCAATATCAAAGTGAAAAACGAAACAGAGAAACTGGAAAAAGAGTTGATTCAGAATGGAGAGAGAAAAAAGAGTGCAAGAAATATCATTGCAGGAAACTGACAAATCAAATTCCAACCAAAGATCAGACTTGAAAATGTGAAATCAGACATTTGATAAAGATGGTGGAACAGAAAGCTTCACCCAGATAGATAAATTAGGCGGTGCTTAATGTTAAAATTGAAATAAACAGACTATTACTTACTGGTACTTGTACTCTTGTGTGGTCCGTGTAATCAATGAGCGATTGGTTGAAAACAAGACATTAGTGCTTTCAAGAACAAGGACAAAACAAGCCAAGCATCACAGCCCAAAAAGGTAATTGACTGAAGTCCAGACAAATACTGTTTTTCAGTAGCATTTCAATGCTCTACTACAGCCAATTTGTATATTTAACATAATATTTAACATTTAACGTTGTATTTATACTATTGCTGATAATAAACTAAAGTTAATGTTTTAAAGTTTTAAGTTTTGGGCTGCGTAGCAGGGCAGCAAAGCGTCACATGACAACATGATGGTAATTATATTAGATAAGAAGCAACAAATACAGTATTCTGGAACATTTTGAAATGCTGAGACAGTAAGAAACATGGCACAGATATAAGACATAAAAATGGGATCCATATGCATAAGCACACAATATCAGAAAGAGAGAGCACCCTGATTCATTTCTTTAGTAGTCAACTGGTCATACATATGCATTTCGCAGGGATGACGTCCATAGTTGTCATGCTAACTGAAGACATGCATTCATTGCCCAGTTCTCGTCAAGCAGTTTTGGACATGCTGCAACAGCCTTTTTTTAAACTTTGAAGTAAACATGCAAGATCCAAATGCCACAGGCCACAATTTCCAGACTGAGTTCACTGACAACCAGCTCTCACATTATCTCCCAAAATGCAGTAGAGAAGAGACCCTGTGGTATTCACATCATACCAATTTATTCTGACAAAGGCATGGCCTCCATTGCCTCATACAGAATGCTGTTTGTTTGGTTTTGTTTTCAATAATTGTCCAGCAAACATGTATTATATTTGTCTCTCAGTAATGACAACAATGACAGTAAAGCCTCTTTTCTATACAATGACACTCATCACAAATATTGGTTATTAGGTATTTCAAATTGCGAGCATGCCAAAAAAAAAGTATATAAATATATATATTACAACAAATGTTTTCACAGGGTCCAAATATAACATTTGCCAAGCACCAAATGAGAATAAAAACTGGATTTGAGGAAATCAAATTTGCCAATGGCTAGCAACTATAAGAAATGATGTATTATGTTGCAATTCAACTTAAACTGTAAGAATGATGTAAGAGATGTAAATTAATGTTTTAAATCAGAAAGATATAAACTATCTACTAAAATTCTCATGTATCCTCTAAAAACTTTAATCACAGTGGGAAACGTACCATTAGAAGTTTATCTAGTAGGCTGGGATGATTTTTTTTCTCCAGAACTCCATGTGGCGACACAATATTTCTCTCATTAAGCCACCAAATGAATATAATAAAAAGACAATCACAATGAACACTGACTCATCTTGTACATGATAGTGTGAATGACACAAGATGCTGTTTGTGCTATTTGCCACTAAGAGGCAAAGAAAACAGCTAAATGAATCAATTGTCTTTAGGGATGTAACAATGCACGTAATGAGCTGGTTGAAAATCGATAAAAATAAGTGACGATTCAAGTTAGTTGATATGTTAAACGAATCGCGATACATTTGGGGGTGGGGGTTTATATGAATGTATCTCTGGGGGGAACTGACTGTATGGAGATAGAATTGTTTCATAATTCCAAATAAATAGATTATGACTCACAAATAAATGTAAAAAGATGAACAAAAATTAAACATATTGACAAACAAATAGAATGAGATCCACAAATCTTAGAGTTTCACAAACATGAATTAAATTCACAAATAAATATAATGAGATTTGCAAATTAAAAAAAGCATTATCACAAATATCTTTTTATGTTACAAACACAACTTTGCCTGGCATTCTTTTGTGAATCGCGTCCTGTACATTTGTAGATCGCTGCACGCATTTGTGGATCGCTTGCTGTGCATTTGTGAATGGCTTTCTGTGCATTTGTGGATTTTGAAACATTTCTAGCGTCAAGACGCTGACAAATACACAAATGCGTAGACTCCACCCACCGTCTACTTAAGCCAATCAGATAACAGCCACACTTCGCTAACCAATCGTAGCACGTTCTCGCTATAGTCAATCACGTTTTGCTTTACAATCAGGGGGTCTTATCCTGAAATAACTTCATTCATCTGCACAGGCTCAAATAGGAAATATAAGGGCCATAAAATTCCTTAATTGTCATATATATATATATATATACACACTCATGTATTATTTTTCTCATATCACTTGAAATAGGCAGGTGTGGCAAAAAGTTCTTTTGGACCATGCTTTTACATTTCTTGACTGAAAACTTCACGCTTGACTTTTTCCCCTTTTAGTCACAGTACGTATTGGGTTCAGGAAACAACCTATATATCACCTCCAACATTAAATAACATGTTAGCAGAGGTGAATCCATGCTTACGGGGACTTTCATGATATATAACTGCTCTCAATTCAGCATCCAAAACTCACTCAAGTCACTAAATGTACTGTGCTATCAATAAAAAGCAAAAAACAAAAAACAAAACAGAAATTAGCTTCTAAAGCATCTATGATCAATCAAGAGATGTAAAGGTTATTGGATTGTAACGTTGAGGACACACTATGACTGGTCATCCCAACTTGCACATGCTCAACTCCAGGAGTCTGACATCACATCCATGCAGTGTTAAATTCCCAAAATCACAGAAAGATGCATCTGTGTGTGAACTCCAGTTATAGAAACTTTCATCTGTGAGTTAACCTCCCTTTTTAGCCATCAGATTCTCTTTATGTTTTGAGATTTAGGCTAGCTGGATGCCTCTTCTGTTCTTGCAAAGGATATAACATATCACTACATATCCAGGCTGACCAGTGTAAAGGCATTCAAAACTCTCTTTTTAATGTGAACAAAGTCGTCTCTATGACAACATAATAGACTCATCCTTGCAAAGACTGGGAAGCTTGCCGGTTGCTATGACAACTTGCTGTTGATTTTGAAGCAAATTATTGTGCTTCGAGAATAAAGAGCCCCAAAAATCCCTACGCAATCAACCGAAGGAACATTGTGTACAACCTTCAACAATGGTAAACAATTTTGTTGGTCTCAAGTAACTGCCTCTCGCAAAGTAGGTGGGAAAGTAAAACCCTCAAAGTTGTAATACTTTTTCTTTACTGTTTCTAAATTCTTTTCATTCAGCAAAATTTTGTGGCCCACCATTGAATAAATTCTACTTGCGTCAAATGTTTCCATATCAGCATTTAAGCTCAACAACTGTGTAACATTAGATTTAAACAGTACAGAGTGGAAGACATATCTGTAAAAGCAAAGACTTCAACTGTTCACATACTCTGGCAACCGTACAGCAATATCCCTGTAGACTCAAACTAGCGTGTGAATCTAAATCAATTTGGCCAGGTACTAAAGCTGCAAAGTCCTACAGGTATACTTGGCAGACATTTACTGTAGATTTACTGTAATTTACTGTAGATGTAACTGAAACCAGAATAAAAATCTCAGACATAAGACTGGTGTTAGTAGTGTTAGTTGGTATGTCAGCATCTCTTGTGAGAGGGCGAACGAGCAGGCAAGGGTGTACTTGGTTCACTTACTCTGAGGACATGAAAGAGGACATTGGCCCAACCTCCTTGGCTTTCTGCAGGGCATGTTTCTGATTAAACGCCTCTTCCTCCTCCTCTTGATCCTTTGGAACAGTAAGGCGTTTTTCGTTATACAACTGCCTTGCAAATCCTTCAGCATATAAAGCTAAAAGAACCTTGCAGGATATACCTTTGTGAGCTCCTGGGCATTGGCCAAATTGTCAACAGCGATAGCCAAGAAGACGTTGAGCAGTGTATCTGACAATTTTGTCAAGAATTTTGGCTCAAAACAATGAGCTATACAGCAATAACCACCAACACCAAGAAGGACAGATTTAACCCTATATACAGTATATATACACTGTAGGTTATTGGTGGTCATGGATAGAGAAAGAATAAACGTAGGATACAATTTCCAAACAGAGTCAGAACAATGAAGTAGACAGACGACCACATCCCAGACTTCACGCCACCTTGAGACCGGATGCCATTGTACATGACTTCATTCCAGTCCTCGCCAGTGAGAATCTACAAACACAGTGAACTTATTTCAGGACCACATGGAATCTGCATCTGAGTAACTCCACAGAGAGCTTCCCATATTTCAGCAGAATAATTTGACAGATGCTTCCCCTTGCATGTCTGTTTATTAAATATTTCCGCTAATTTGATGATCCTTTCAGCTACCACTGAAAGGGATACAAATAACATATTGTACCAAATTACACTCCTCAGAATTCCACTGATTTTCCCACAAATTTGACACAGAAACTAAATCTACAAATTTTGTTTTGGCCTAAAAGTATTTTTTCTGTGCTGGACCTATGTATATGTATTCATTTTCATCATTATAAAGGGAAGATAGATTCTGTTTTGTGACTAAGTATGTTTTTGTTCTGCGCTCTGATCCTAATTTCCTCTCTATCTGTGCAATTAAATCTTGGTCTAATTATTTAGCCTTCCTTCTAAGCCATTTTTCACCAAGAAACATCCGGAGTCTTGTATTATACTTCGATTACAACTGGGTGGAATCTTACTTGAAACACTGTCATGATGGCTGCTGGAAAAGTGTCAAAATTTGTGGGTGTGTAGTCTTCAAAGATGAACCTGTAAAGAAAGAAAAAAAAATCTCTTTGCAAGCCATTTTATTCAATATGTGTCTGACCAGGTTACTGAATAATGTATTATTTGCTTTTCACCTACTGGTTGAACCTGATCTATTTTCTATTGTCTTGCCACACCTGTCACATAGAGTTATAGTTCCACTCCAAACATTATTTTTTTGCATAAAATTTGATCCCATGTTTGATATGGACATGGTGGTGGACTTAACACTTTATTTTTGAGTCAGGATTAAAGCATTCTGAGGATTTAATATTGTTATTGTAAATGATATAAAGAGCAGCTCATAACTCTTTAATAAATAAGGTGTAGAATTCAGATATTTTCAGCCATAAATCCAAATTTAAAACTGTCTACAGGCGTTGTCTGTGCTTAGACTGATAAGATATTACCTTCCACCAAAGAGCTGCATGCCCAGAAGTGCAAAGACCACAATGAAGAGGAAAAGCAGGAAGAGCAAACTAATAATGGACTTCATGGAGTTCATCAGAGACACAACCAGGTTCCTCAGGGACACCCAGTACCTTAACAACACATAAATACAGCATCTCTGAGTTCAAAATAGGGACATCCAGAACTGAGCAAAGACATCACAAGTCAATAAATAGATTATCGTCTCTGCAAGAAGCAAACAAACCAAGGAGACTTTTATTCCAGGCAAGCTTGCACTTACTTTGTGATCTTGAAAATTCTCAACAACCGCAAGGCACGCAGAACGCTGATCCCAAAGGATGTGCCAGGTCTGAAGAACCCCCAGAGCACCTCAAAAATACTGCCTACTATCACCTGGAAGGAATTAAGGAATTTCACCTCTTTAAATATGTCACAAAATTCTGTCTATAGGTGCGGTCACATTAGCAAAATTTGTTCAAAATTTCACAGGCAAAAAAGGTCATTTTCTGCTGTCAGTTGTGTAGCGATGTATGGAGCACAACAAACACTCTCAAACCAAGCAGCGATGTCTGTGGTGGGAAATATTTTGCATGGATTCCTACTGAAATGAAACCATAAAACTTCACCAAACAATGGTAAATGTGTCTGTCTGTCTGTCTATCTATCTAAAACATGAGATTTACTAATTAAATTTTTTTTTTAACAGGATCTGTATGGAAAGGGACAGTTACAAATGTTCTGATTAAATTAAAGATTAGCCAAAAGATAACCATTATATATTGACACTGTCCAGAACTAAAACTGAATTTTAATTAAATAAAGCTACGTATTGATATTCAGTGCTGGGTCCTCAAATTTACATAGAAATTAGAGACATGTTCATAGTGTTCATAGTGGAGAAGCGTAACTTCAAAAAAGATCAAATTAGATTTACAGTTTCATCTGCTCTTATTTCTTTGCACTGCATTTATCTTCGTTGATAAAAAAAATGCCATGAACATTCATTTTTGGAGTCACCACCTTGATCCTCTTTGACACTTGCACTGTTGTACATTTCAAAGAAGATTATGGAAAGGATGACAGAAATACACTTACCCCAAAATCAAAGCAGTTGAAGGAGGAGTGGAAATAGAGTCTGGGCCCAAGTCCATACATCTTGAGAAACATCTCTGTAAGAAACAGGCCTAGAAACAAGAACTCTGCAAAGTCTGCAACAGAAAGGAACCACTTTAAAGTTAAAACTATTGATCATGTATGACAGCATATACATAGAGTGAAAAGTTTCATTTTGCTTGTGGTCTTACAAAGGAGACTAGACAACCACTGAGGCTGCTTGTGGTGTACGATGGCGACACAGAAAGTGTTGAGGGCCACCAGACTCAGAACGATCCAGTAGAAGGTGTGAGTCTTCACCATACGGCGAACGGAAATCCGTAGCATGCGTTCTTTCCGACGGAAATAGGACGTTGGTCCTCTTTTAGCACTGCGTATGCTGGCTCTGTTCAATGGCATCCCTGATGAACAAAAATATTTATGAACAAGCAAAACAACTTGATCCACATTTATACTTCTTGATTGAATAAGCAGATTATTTCAGCTGTATGTGAATGATATTCTGAAAACGTGCATATAATGACATGTGGGTAAATATTTTGCATCACCTAGACACGATATGAAGGAGACCTGGGGAGGAAGCCACTCACCTACAGACGATATGTCAGCATACTGTTCCTCTGGAGATCTCCGAACATCATCCACCCCTCTTCTCTTTATTGTGGTGGCTCTTTTTAGCACTGAGAACACACATACCAAATAATTTATCTTATTATCTTACTATCTTATCTTATATTTATTTTATTTCAAACTAAACAAATAACAGATTAATAAACCAAAAACTGTAAGAAATAAAAGCATATATGGGTTATAAAATATTAACAGTCACTTGATTTGCATTTCGGTCATGTCACGCTGGATAGCCCTGCCCATGTTGTGTCAGAAATTATTGTATTACAGGTTTCCAATTATAAATAAATAAAAATCATTCACATTTTTATGTAACTCCAAATGGTTATCACCTTACAAAAATCTATGTAGATATTTTTTTTTTGTTTATTTCATCATTATTTAATCAGGGACAATACACTTAAATAATGCATAAAATCTATGTAAAATGTGCCAGGGTGGCTTATTTCCATCTGTAATCCTAGGGTAAGTTGAAAAGCCAAACTGAAGCTAAAGCAAATTATTAAAATATTATCTGGAAAATATTTACTTTGTTGTGTTTCTTATTAACCAATGATACTAACTCATCATAAAGGTCAAATATGTTTTTTGTTGAGTCATGCAGAATGTATGTTTTAAATGCCTACAGAGAAACTATGTATCACTGAAAACTTGATGCAGCCAGCTTAGGACATGATATGACAAATGTACAAACATCACTCTGTTGTAATCATTTACTTTTCAAGCATTTATAGAATATAACAGGCTAGACAGCAGCTACTGAAAGTGAAAAATGTAATCAAAGCATCTAGTCGAATAGCTTGCACTAACACTGTGTCTACACCGGACGCGGAGCGACACGACAACTGTCGCGTCCGGTATAGACATGGTGTCAGGGATACATTCAATTGCAAATAAATCCGCTTGTTAGATTTCGCTGTTGTCATGGCAACAGTGAAGTAAATATGAATGCCTGCAATTGCATTTTATGTTTTAAAATGTACAACTCCCTTCAGAGTGCAACCTGGATACCTACTGCTGTCAAACATCATATGCAAGGGCCAAAACCGGTCTCAGTCTCTCCTGACCCCCTAAAAATTATATAGGGCCCAGTTTTTTTAAGACAATCATCTTAAATGGGATGATGGGATGCATACAGGAGAACAGCAGGGGCAAAGAAATAAGAGTTCACCATGGTAACTGGTTGTTTTCCATTCACACAGCCTCTGGGAAGCTGTCAATCAACATTTAATAAAAAAAATACATAAATAAAAACTTGTTTGATTCTGGGGAAAACCTGTCGCCTTGTATAGGGTTCGGATGTCATGTGGTGGGTTTTCGCTTCACAGATGTGCGCCATGAGCAGGATCATGGTGTTTTGTTTATTGTGACATCAGTCTATTGAATATACAATCTCTGTACTGTTTTATGGGACCAGAACAGGCTTTATATGCCAGAACAGGCTATTGAATAAATGATGAAATCTGGGACAGAGAGTGAATGCGTATTTACTAGTGTCTTCAAAATAATCACATGACCCTAACTCTGACACATAATTAAAAAACTGCATCCCACAATCTACAGTACGTGGGAAAATGAGAGAAAAACAGCAGAGGTCAAACATCTTACCATCTAAAGCAGAAGGTCCTGAATTCTTGTTCTCCTCTGCAAGCATCACCTCCTCTGCAAAATAAAAATGCATTTAAATTTAATCAAGTTGTGCACATACAATTCACTGAAAAACTGGCATTTAAAATCTAATTTATTCCTGGATATTAACAGAAGGATTTTGCAAAATGTAAACAAAGAAACCAATGAATAAGAAATATTTAATATTTGTGACATCGATCATGTGCACTGCTTTTTACTAAGGTCAGATTATTTTTTGCATTTGTTTTACATGGTGCATTTGCCAGCCCATTATGTAAGAGTACCTGCACGGTCGATCCAGGCCCGATACCCATTCAGCTCCCTTTCGATCTGTTGCTGTCTTCTGAGCTTCATGAAGGCTCTTCGGTTCTCCACCCGCTCTCGCTCTTTAGCAAACTCCCTACATGAGCCAACAGCATACAATTACTCATACAGAGAATAACCACAGGGATGACACACTTAATTTATTAAAGTGTTTCACCTGCAGAGTGAAGGAATAAAAGGCAGAGAGAGAGAGGCTGCATCCCAATTTGCATCTTTTTTTTTTTATTTCAAATCACACCGACTTCAAACCATTAGTCATTAGTCATTAATCATTAGTTGCATTTCCATTACAGATTTGCACAAAACTTTTGCAATATTTTATATATGTCGATTAAAAAACAAAATGCAGGCATTTCCATTACCTGATGTTATGCGACTAAAACTTAATTTTATCCTCTCGCGACAAGTCATGGTGACGGATGTTAGTAGGTTAATGTATAGAGCAGCCACCGCACTAGCCATTATTTTTAATTGAAGGAGATGAAGGCGTGTATCTTTAGCGAAGCAGCGCAAAGAGCTGCTTCTGGAACATAGAACTGGTATAAACACAAGCATTGACTAGAGTGGCCGCGATCAGCTTCGGTGGCCGTGTCGGAGCCGTGATGCGCCGCAGATTTGTTCAGTGTAAATAAGGGGTTATTCAAGCATTAACGGCAAGGAGCAGCCATGTATGAGGTGTTTCTTGGAGGTTATAGTACATTAAAGAATGATCATGTGACTTTTACATACACCAGGTGACCTGTAAATGCGAAAAACCTGTTTCCATTGCAGTTTTGCGAAATATTCATTTTTCGAATTGCCTGAAAAACCACCTCATGCGTGAGTAAAAACTTTTTTGCGATATATGGGAGTTTTTGCGAAATTTATGTTTCCATTTGGCGTATTCTCAATTCGCAATTTCAATTTGCGCAGTTTGAAGGGTAATGGAAACACAGCTATTGTTAAAGTGCAAGTGAAGCAGTCAGTCAAGTTTACAATCTATCTATCTATCTATCTATCTATCTATCTATATTCTCCCTCACATATCTACGTCACTATGTGGGAATATTTGCATAATGCTGCCCAAATGTCTACGTAAAGAAAGATGTGGTTTCAGGTATCGCAGTAGTGTTGTTGCCTCCATGTTATGGAGACACTGTGTGTTTCTATGCAAAAGCAAAATCGCTTATTTGGCCTTTTGAAAGTGGATGCAATTAGAAATCAGTGGTTAAGATTTATTTACAACATTGTTCCAGAACAGTACAACTTACTATTGACTGCTCAAATGCGGAATATGATGATGTGTAGAGTGATGCATATTGTTTGTCGTTCTTTCGATTACAAGTGCAGATATGGATTTATGTTTACAAACAAAGTATCCTCAGTCGTCTGTACGAAAAGATGACGAACAGATGTACTACATGTTTTGTTTCACACTGGACGCTCAAGCAGAGCTGAAGCAGCACGCACCCTTTGTGCTATTACACTGGCAGCGTCACATTCCACTCTGATAAGTTCTGCTCAAGTCATGCTTACAAAGTTGGTTCCGATCGATCGGCTTGGTCATCTGCATTTTTAGAATCTGACTCAGGCTCGAACTGATATGGTAAAACTCAAAAAAGTACATGTGATGAGGGAGTTTCAGTAGAACAGTGAACTGCGGTCAGATGATATGTTGTCAGGCCATATGTCAGTAAAAACGAATTTTCTAGTCCTGTCAGCCATTATGCTGTGCTCATAGCGTGTGCTCTTAAACTGCACGTACAAATGCGGCGGCGTGCGCTGTAGCCTATGTCATTTCATATTAAAGCGCAAATGAAACTACGAGCATGCAATGTCATAGTTATGAATACAGAGAAATGAGATATGTGTAGAAAGAGAAACAGACAATGCCACGGTATGTGTAGTGACTTAATCTTACCTCTTGTCTCTAGAGATGAAGTTAATACATCTCACATTAACCTCTGATAAAACTCATTACCCAGGGTCGGCTCAGACATCAGGTTAGACGTAGTGTCAGTTTGTCTTAGAGTCCATTGAGGAAAACAGTACTTACCCTGACAGGACTCCTAATACCAGATTCAACACAAAGAAGGAGCCAATTATTATTAGAGGAATGAAGTAGAGCCAATTCCAAGTAGAGCCTAAGGCATCGTTGGTCTGTGCAAACACAAAACAGGAAGCGATCAAAACAATGGAAATAATACATTATGATTTTAATTTTGCAGTAGCTCCTAAATCTACTTAATGCCTGGGTTGAAAGGGTCAGAAAACCATAAACCCTGCCCTTGTAATGGTGATGATTCCTTTGAGCTCTGCTCAGCAGTGCAAAGGGTGTGATCACTCCGTGGGCAGGCGACATTGTTGCCCAGCTGAGCTGAGAGGGTGTTCCCCGCATCCCGACACAGCTGCGACAGCTCAGTTATGAGTGTGAAAAACACCTCTAACTGTGGCAGCATGACTCACGTCAACGCATGATACCATGTGACTGATTAAAAACACTGTGACTTTAATCAGTCAATATAGACATGCCCTCATCCTCAAAAACCATGAATAAACAACAGCGGTACAAACAGTAACTCTCCAAACCTCCAATCCTTCCAATTCCTTCAAACAAGGTCTCTATGCTTTCCCTTTGTTGTATAAATATTTTATCTCAAACTAAATGCATGAAAGTCTCAGTAAGTCCTCCTCCACAAAAATAACATATTAAAAATAAAAAAATGACATTCCATGCTCAGATACCAGCACTACGGGATGACAGTGAATTGTAGAGCCAACTCAGCACATAAATGGCACTAGCATGATCATAGTCAACCACCTAAAATAATTCCACCAAAAGCTCCAATAATCGGATGCAGAATAAAGACTGTGTCTAACGCCTCTCATTTTCCAGTACTTGGAGCTGTTTGGAGATAAAACCACTCTGACAAACCCTTCTAAATGTGACTTGTTATGAAAAGGGAGATGCTACTGTGCTTGAATAGGCTTGAAAGAAGATCAGAAATCAGGGAAAAGCTACACAGTGTTGCATGCTATACAGTATGTACAACCAGTGTACGAATACGATAGGTCACAGATGGCTAGAATACGGAAAGAGGAAGTTCTTCAAACCTAAACTGCAACTATTTCAGCTAATATGGACCAACTGTAAGTGCAATTTGATAATTCAAAATTCAAATTATTTATTTTCTTATTTTGGGGAGAACAGAAGGAACAGGATTAGGAAACAACGTAAATGTAAGATGCCAGCATGAACACAACAGATCAACGACTTCCAAAATCACGGTATCAACAAAAAGAAAAGGCAGGGTTTGAACTCATCTAACCAAAAGACTCAACCAGCTTCGAAACCAGCCATTCAAATGTATAAAATATGAAATACTACAAAGAAGCTAATGACCCTGTTTCATCTGACAAACAAAATGTGGTAGATTAATGTTCAAGCGAGATCTCCTGAGGATGTCTTTAACATGAAGTAATGATTCAACACTGGATTACAATGGATTAAGATTATATTTTTATGTATTAGGGTTATAATACAGAAGCGTCATCATTTAGAGTGACCATACTTCCTCTTTTTCCTGGACATGTCCTGGCCAGGATTTCAGGTTTTGGCTTTGTTATGCTATTGTTTTCATAGCTGCCGAAGGTAATGACTGAAAAATAGGTTTGACCAATAAAGTGCAGGCATTGTACATAATCAACCAATGGCTTTCAGTCAAAGCAATGTAAATACACATTACATAATGTATGAGGACTGTAGAGAGCATAAGTGTGTTCAACTTCAAGCAGCGCTGCTCAGACCGATCGGTGTATGACATCATAGTACTGCTAAAGCGATAAGAGAGCAGACGGCTTATGCTTTTGAATCGCTCTCGCAGTACTTTGATGTCATACACTGATTGTTCTGTGCAGCGCCGCTTCAAGTCGAACACACCTGACGTCAGTAGGAAAACAAAGCCAAAATGCAGACACTTCAGGCAATTTAGAAGTCCTGGCCAGGACATGTCTGAGAGAAAGGGGAAGTATGGTCATCCTACATCATTTCAAGCACAGAAACAAAACTGCTACACATCAGTCAGCTGAGAGAGAAACTCACATTATAGAGTACAGCTGTCCAGCCTTCCATGGTGATGCACTGGAAGACAGTGAGTATTGAAAATAAGATGTTATCAAACTGAGTGATGCCATCGTTGGGTCCGGGCCAGGGGCCGGAGCAGTTATAATTTTCAGGACAATTCTTGGCCCCACATGGGAAATCAATTTCAGATGAGTCTGCTCTCTCAGAGTCTGCATGAGATGAGAAAGACAAATAAATAAATAAATAGCTTTTTTCATGAATTGCATATTGACTATATAAGTTGTCAACTTTTTAATTTTTAATCATGTATCTGTGTAATTTTTCTGTTTGTTTTAGGGTGTACTCACACTAGGCGATCTGAACCGTGCCGGAGCGTGTTTGACCGGTTTGACTGGTTCGTTTGACTAGTGTGATCGCTCCGTCCTGCATCCAGGCGTGGTTCATTTGGCCATCCCTGGTTCGCTTGGAAGAGGTGGGCCAGAGCACGGTTCAGTTGGGTTCGGAACAGCTACTATTTTGTGTGCGCTACTGTCATCATTACGACTGCAAACATCTTCTATTGCTACTACTACAGTACGCTTTCAATTAATTTAATTAAATCAAGTATATTTAGGTTTATAACGGGTCTGGTTCTCACCATACTGATGAACAGGAATTGTAGTTTGTGAGTAAAGCTGCAAATTCTTTCATTAACCTCAGCTGCCTCCGTAATGATCCTCTGATACATGCAAGTGAAAATCGCTGCTCGGGCTAAATTATAAATTTATTAGGCAGTCTATTAGCGAAAGTGGTTTTCTCCCTGTTATCTGCATGACGTAAGCGTGTTTAGTGCAAGTGTGCGTGCAGGCCAGTGGGGTAGTGGGGAGGTGGGATAATCGCGCTCGGTTCAAGGCAACTGTGCCTAGTGTGAATACACCCTTACTGTTTGTTATCATGCAGCTAATAGAAGAGGCCAACAGAATGATGAAGTGTTTACTTCCTGTATGGGAGGAGCCAAGCCAAGCCTCTGATTGGCAGGTCTGTATGGACCCGTGAGGGATTGCCAAATTTTATTTTCTGCTCTTGCAAATGTGAATAATAGTATTCTTGTCAATAGCAATCTTATATTTTGTTATTTAATAACATGCATGTGTATATAGTCCACTCAAAAATGAAAATTAATTTACTTTACCTCATGATTTTTTTTACAGGAATATTTAAGAATGTTGGTAACCAAATGGTTTTGGGTCCCATTGACTTTCGCTGTATAGACAAAAACATACTTTGGAAGACAATGGGACCCAACTTAGACTCAACTTTGGTTACCAACATTCTTCAGAATATCTTCTTTTGTGTTCTACAGAAGAAAGAAATGCATAAAGATTTGAGAGGGGAGTAAATAATAACACAATTTAAATTTTTGGGTGGACTATCCCTTTAAGGAGATGGAGTTATTAGTGACCCAACTTTCACAAAAACCAAACCTTTTTTTTAACTTCTGTTTCCATTTTTCGTCATTTTTGAGTATTCTAAAGATTTAAACATTTTGTTTGGATCCCAGCCATCTGACAAGAACATAAATGTAATAATTATTCATATTTCTGTACTCTACGTTTGTACTTATGTGGATGTGTGGGTCTGTGCATGTTCTTGTGTCTGTCGGAGTGTGATCCTCTTTACCTGTAATGTTTGAATAAGCTACACATCTTTTGTGGAGTCTTCCACTGTAGAACTCTAGTCCGATAATAGCAAACATGAGAATGGCAAAAAACAGCAGCAGACCAATCTGTAGCAGTGGCACCATCGCCTTCATTATGGATTTAAGAACTATTTGCAGACCTTTAAAAAAAACATGAATATATATAGATATCAATAAACCTATCAACTACACATAAATATATCAAAATGTACTATTCATTCCTTCACATGTGGAAAAACTTTAACACTACAGCATCCACATGTAAAAGAACAACTATAACACTGTGTCCTAACCAAGTGCTATGTGACAAATTAAAGCTACGTGGAGTGGGATTTTGGACCAATGAGATTTCTCTGTGCAGCTACCCCGATAATTAGACACCTAGCAACAAAGTAAATGCCTTGCATGTAGCTTGTTGCAGTTGTGACTGGATTTATGTCGTTTTGTCACTTTGCACCTGATTAGGAGGCAGTGTTATACTCCTCATTTCAAATGAAACAACACAATGTGTGATTAAGAACTTCATATAGAACCATAAACATACTAGGAATGCCAGAAACCAGTTTAAGGGGCCGTAATACCCTCACAGCCCTCAGCGTGCGCAGGTCTAATGAAATATTCATGTGGGCTCCTGCTGTGGCCAGAATCCTGTTAACAAAATAAAAACAAACATAGGTTAGGCAAAGAAACTAAATCAACAGAAAGTATGCAGGATATATGAATATTTCACAAATATGTTAATGATGATATTTTGTAAACTATGCAATCTCCATCATTAGTGACATGGTAATCGGCACACTAGTGATGACTCATAATGATACTGTAGGTAAAGGGGAGTAATCAGAGCAGCGGTGCTAAATGCTTGTGGTCCCTCTCAGTGAATGACAGCCAGCACACTTTCTTATAAGGGTCACTTCTTTACAGCTTCCTTCTAAGCACAAGTGATATTCATCAGGCGTGACCAATGAGTCATCTCTGTCTTTCATTCCACATGCTTGTTCATGTATAGCCACAATCAGACAGGAGCATGCAACTTTAACATATGGAGAAACTGATTTTTCATATTTGTGTGACAATAATAAGATGCCAGTTGGAACCAGATGTGACACTCATGATGGATTTAAAGGGACAGTTCACCCAAAAATTAAAAAAGTGTCTTTACATATCTGTACCTTGTATATGTGGATGTGTCTATACACATCCTGTGGTCTGTGTGGGTCCTAACGCCCCAGTATAGTGATGGGGACACTATACTGTCAACAAGCACCGTCCTT